CCTTTTCCCGAGATCACTTACATGCATATATATGGCCAAGGCCTAAACTGAATCTGAGCCAATTGCTCCTAGAATTAAGGACTGAAAATAGGAAACTATCCTATCCTTCCACGCGCGCTGCATCCTATCCTTCCATGCGCTGCTGCTGTGCACATGCTCTGCAAGACGTCAAGGGTTCACAAGGCCGGATATATCGTGCGCCCTCACATGACATGGACATTCTGGAGGTATGCTCATTGGGGTTGATAAGAACCTAGCTCAAGTTTCTGCACAAGATCAAGGGGCTTTCTTTCAGAGTGTGAAGCTAAGTATGATAAGCGATGGCTTTGAATGGGTGCTTATCAATGTGTATGGAACTGCACACGATGAAAAGAAGTTAGAGTTCCTAGAAGAATTACAAGTTAAGGTACTGGAAACAGAATCTCCGCTGATAGTAGGAGGTGATTTTAATTTAGTCAGAAAGGTGGAGGAAAAATCTTCAGGAAATGTAGATGTGAGGCTCGTGGACGCTTTTAATGATATGATCAATACTACTGCTCTCAGGGAATTACACAGATCAGGTACACATGGTCTAACAAGCAAAACCCCCCAATTCTGTGCGTCCTTGATAGAGTTCTGGTTTCCAATTCCTGGGAAGACAAATTCAATTTGGCTTCAGTTTTGACTGCTCCTAGGCTCGGTTCAGACCATAATCCTCTCATCGTGGATACTGACGAAAGTAGAGTTACCAAGCATCACTACTTCAGGTTTAGTAATCATTGGACTAAGCAGGAGGGTTTTTATGAATGGGTGAAAAGTAAGTGGCCAAATAGGTATAAGATTGAGACGCTGGCCCACTGGCATATTGTTTCAGGAAAATTAAGGAAAGCTATTAAAGGGTGGGGCCAAAATGTGGACAGTTTCCAGAAGTATCAGAAAAAAGATATCATGAAGACAATCTCAATCCTGGATGAGGCAAGTGAAAACAGGGAGTTAAGCCAAGCTGAATGGGAAGAAAGATACGACTTAGAGAGGGAGTTACTAAAAATTCTTTCAGATGAGGAAATACAATGGCAGAGAAAGGAGGAGTAAAAAATGGATTCTAGAGGGGGATGCTAACACAGGTTTTTTCCACAAATGTGCGAATGGCAGGAAAAGGAAAATGCACATAGCCGCTCTGGAACATAATGATCAGATTCTAGAAAGCACACATGAGTTGAAAGAGCACATCACTGAATATTACAAGCAGCTATTTGGCAAATCTGAGACTGCAGAGATACATCTAGAACCTGACATGTGGAACTCAGATCAACAGTTGTCTCCTGAGGAAAATGAATGGTTAGTAAGACCTTTTAGTCTGGAAGAGCTAGATTTTGCTCTAAAAGAAATGAAGAACAGTACTGCTCCGGGGCCTGACGGCTTTAGTGTTGAGTTCTTCAAAACTTTTTGGAATTTGATCAGAGATGATATCAAAGAAATGTTAGACAATTTACATAAGGGTCAACTGGATCTATGGAGACTGAACTTTGGAGTTATTATCCTTTTGCCTAAAGTTAAATCAGCTACTAATATCAAGCAATTTAGGCCGATTTGTCTACTCAATGTGATATTAAAATTATAACCAAGGTCCTCACTATCAGACCAACAAAAGTTGTGGACAAGCTGATCAGCCCTTACCAGACTGCTTTTCTCCCTGGGAGGAATATTTTAGAGGGTGTGGTCATTGCTCAGGAAGTACTTCATGAACTTAGAGTTACTAAGAAAGCTGGAGTTATTTTAAAGCTAGATTTTGAGAAGGCGTATGACAAAGTGAGCTGGAATTTCTTATTAGAAGTGATGGTTAGAAAAGGTTTTGAGGAGCGCTGGATTCGATGGATCAATCAAGCGGTGAGAGGGGGTAGAGTCTGCATTGATTTGAATGGTGAGAGAGGGGAGTTCTTTAGAAGCTTTAAAGGTTTGAGACAAGGAGATCCCTGGTCCCCTCTGTTATTCAACTTAGTAGCTGATGCTCTATCCACCATGCTTTCTAGAGCTAGTGCAGCGGGGGTGATCAAAGGCCTTGTTTCCAATTTGATTGATGGAGGTTTAACACATCTGCAATATGCTGACGATACAGTAATCTTTCTGAGCTTTTCCACTGAGAATTTAATGAACTTGAGAATGATTCTCACATGTTTTGAAGCTATGTCTGGCATGAAGATAAACTTTGATAAAAGTGAGGTCTTCACTATGGGTCTTACTGAGGAAGAACAACAACAAACAGTGGAAATGCTTAATTGCAAGCTGGGTTCTTTCCCTATGAAATATCTAGGACTGCCAGTTAGTGACCACAAAATCTCTAAGGCACAGTTGAGGTATGTAAGCGACAAGACTGAGAAAAGATTAGGAACATGGCAATGTGACTATCTGTCTTCTGGTGGGAAATTGACTCTGATCGATGCCTGTTTGTCCAATATCCCAATGTACACAATGGGTGTATATCAGCTGTATGAAGGCAACTATCAGATGCTAGACACCATCAGATCGAGATTTTTTTGGCAAGGCACAGGCAAGAAAAGAAAATACCACATGATCAAATGGGAGGCCCTTAACAGACCAAAGGAGTTTGGAGGGCTAGGTTTCATGGATGTTCGAGCTATGAACACAAGCCTACTTGCTAAGTGGATAGATAGATTAGAAAGGGGTGACAATAATCTGTGCTGCTCTCTGTTAAGGAAAAAGTACTTGGGTCACAAAAGCATTTTTCAGATCAAGAACAGACAGGGGTCACAGTTCTGGAGATCCTTGTTAGCTAATCTACTGCCACCTTGTGTGAACACAGCAGAGGAAGGCGGCGCCGACTTAGCTGCCTGCTGTGTGTGAACACAGCAAGGGAAGGCGGCGCCGACTTTGCCCCCTGCTGTGATACAGTAGCCGCTGTAGGTGCAGGCGCCGCACGGCTCACCTACAGCACTGTAGGAACAGGCAGTGGCCGGCGCAGAGTCAGCCCTGTCAGGTTATCTAGTTACTGTGCCAGCATGGGCGCTGTACATAGACTAGATAGTTAGAGTTGTATAAATAGACATGTATGACAACTCAGTAAAGAGAGCTCAGATTTGCCATCACACAGACAGGGCTTCGGCCAACGCTGTTGCCTTGTATTGTACGTACTTGCTCTGTTCTCCCTTCCTCTTCTAGCTCGATCCGTAGTGTGTGGGTACGGACAACGCCGGTACGTGGTCTGCACGGCTAGTGGGTGCTCGGCAACACTAGCGCGTGCTCGGCGAGACCGACAAGTGCTCCACTCGCCTGAGCCGGTGGTCGGCAAGATCGGCTGGAGTGGTTCACTGTCGTGAGCCGGTGATCCTGTAAGACCAACGGAGTGGTCTGGAGATCATCTCGGTGGTCGAGAGGCTAACTGTGGGCCAACAATCCTCGCTTGATATTAGGGAATGGTACCAAAAAGGTAGAGTTATGCAGGTAGTCAGTGGACAACAGACAAGATTTTGGCATGACACCTGGCTGGTGGAGTATCCTCTAAAAGTTACTTTCCCTAACCTGTTCAAAATAGTTTCTTATCCAGATATAGATGTATGCCAAGCAGTTAGAGATGGACAGTGGAACATCCTGTTGAGAAGACAACTCCATGGAACTCTCAGTGAGGAATGGTCCCAATTCCAGGAACTACTGAGTGAGGTTAACTTAGAAGAAGGGAGAGATAGAGTTGGATGGGCTTTTGAGCAGTCCAAAAAGTTTACTGCCAGTTCACTGTACAAGTTTATTACATCCGGAGGTATCAGAGATCAGCAGATGATGATATATGGAAATGTAATATCCCGCTGAAGGAGAAGATCTTTATGTGGATGGCTGCACACGACAGAATCCAATCAGGGGTGCAGTTAAAAAAGAAGAAATGGTCTGGCCCAGAAAAGTGTGCTGCCTGCGATGAACTAGAGACTACAGACCCTATATTATTTCAGTGCCCCATTGCCGTTTACCTATGGACCTTTCTGAGGGTCAATTTGGGATGGCAAAATTCACCAACTAACTGCGCGGATTTCTTATTAGAGTTCGTAGACAATTGTAGAGGAGCTAAACGCAAGGTGACACTCTTCATTTGTGCAGGAGCGTTGTGGACTATCTGGAAGACGAGGAACAACATGGCGATCAACAAGAAGGTTCTCACTTCCCCTAAAGTGATCCTCTTCAAGTCCTTGATGTTGATCAAGTCCTGGCGCCCACTGCTGAAAGCGAAGCTGGAACCGGTTGTAGAAGAGATGATCAATCTACTCTCATCAAATGCGCACTAGCTTATCTCGTAGTAGTGTTTTAGTAGCTCTCCTTCTGAGGTGGTAGTTTCTGTGAAGTATGACGTGCGTTGAGTGGGCTGGATGTCAGCTGCTTTAGAGCTTAGTTCCCAGGTTAGTCCAGTTAATGTTTGAGAGGAAGCCGAAGTCTGTTTTTTTTTTCTATCTTGGTGCGCTCTATTTTGTAAACTGGTATCCCCAGTATCCGGACCGATGGGTATTCGATACGCTTTCTAATAAAGCTGGGCGAATCCATTTTCGTCTATTTTTTTTTTTTGACTTGTAGGGGATTTAATCCCTCCCCATCCTCTCCGACCCCTTTCTTCCTGTAATCAAACTAACAAGCCCTGATGGTGTCTGTTCGCTTGCTCGTAAATGATCGTAAATTTTCAGTCAGAAACAGTGTTTTTCTCTCACACCAAACCAGTCAGCAGTAAATAATCCACGATACGATACGGCCTCCCGAACAGGCTCAGATCAAACATCAGCCACGCCATCGACAGAAGTCAATCATTGTAGAATTGTCAGAACACAGAACTGTCAACTGCTAGATAGGCCAGGGGCCGAGGGCCATACAGAAGCAACACGAATGCTATGTATAATCCTTAGAGAAGTCAATCATCGCCTTTCCTAGTGATATAAACTAAAGAAAATTCCCACCAGATCATTACCCAAACAATTGCAAACTCCGAAGGAATAGTAAGCACTATCGTTAACCACCATCGGGGGTGCATTTCACTCGCTGGAAACCTTGGAGACCTTGGGAACATCCACGGGGAACCTGTCGATCTCGTCTATCCACGGGTTGGTCTCCTCCGCCGGGTTCACCGACCGGAGCGCCCTCCACACGGCGCTGTTGCACTTGAACCCCGACCCGAACGCGATCTGCCACACCCGGTGGCGCCGCCGGATCCTCCCCTTGGCCTCGCTGTAGGCCAGCTCGTACCAGAGCGAGCTGCTGGACGTGTTCCCGAACCGGTGCAGCGTCATCCGCGACGGCTCCATGTGCCAGTCCGTGAGCGACAGGTTGCTCTCCAGCTCGTCCAGCACGGCGCGCCCGCCCGCGTGGATGCAGAAGTGCTCGAACGCCAGCTTGAAGTCCGGGATGTAGGGTTTCACCTTCTTCATCTTGAGCACCTTCTTGGCGACCAGCGTGGCCATGAACAGCAGCTGCTCCGACAGCGGCAGCACCAGCGGGCCCAGCGTCGTGATGTTGGTCTTGAGCGCGTCGCCGGCCACTGCCATCAGGTCCCTCGACAGCGACACGCCCAAAACGCCCTCGCCGTCCTCCTCCTGCGTCACGCAGCCGAAGCACCGGTCGTCGGCGCCCTTGTGCGTGCGCACCGTGTGCACCAGCTCGTACTTGGCCCGCCGCCGGTCGGACCGCCGGTTCGAGAGCAGCACCGCCGCGCCGCCCATCCGGAACAGGCAGTTGGACACCAGCTTGGAGCGGTCGTTGCCCGAGTACCAGTTGAGCGTGATGTTCTCCGTGCTGATCACCAGCGCGTACGACCCCGGGTGCGTCTGCAGCAGGTCCTTGGCGAGGTCCACGGACAGCAACCCCGCGCTGCACCCCATCCCGCCGAGGTTGTAGCTCACCACGTTCCCGCGCAGCTTGTAGTGGTTCACCACCATGGCCGACAGCGACGGCGTCGGGTTGAACAGGCTGCAGTTCACCACGAGGATCCCGATGTCCTTGGGCTTCACGCCCGTCTTGGCCAGCAGCTCGTCCACGGCGCCGAACATCACCTCCCGCGCCTCCGCGCGCGCCTCGTCCATGGACGGGTTGGGCGGCACCCGCGTGACGGCGGGGGGAAGGTACGTGTCCTCGCCGAGCCCCGAGCGCTCCAGGATCTTGCGCTGGAACTCGAGGCTGGCGTCCGTGAAGCAGCCGGTGAGCCTGGAGCAGCGCATGAAGGTGTCGCGCGTGCACCGCCGCTCGGGACCCGGCTTGTAGCAGGCGAAGTCCACCAGGTACACGGGCCGCGGGCGGGTCAGGAAGTAGGCCGTGCCGAGGAAGACGAGCAGCGTGGAGCAGGCCACCACGGAGATGAGGTTGAGGCGGAGGTGCTCCCACAGGTCGCCCACGTCGCGCGGGGACAGCGTGGAGAGGTGCACGGCGACCAGCACCATCAGCGGGGTCAGCAGCAGGTACATGCCGTGGGTGATGAGGTGATGGTACCCCAGCTTCACGTACTTGAGCCGCACCGACTGCTGGAAGTCCGGCAGCTGACGCGACGGCGACGGCGTTGGCGTGGCGCCCGTGGCGGCGGCCGCGGAGGCAGGATCGGTCGGCGGCGTTGGGTTTTCCATGGCCCCTCTGTAACACAGAGACACAGAGTTCAGTCGGTCAGTAAAACGCGAAAAACAACAACGCCGAGATGAAATTTCACGATCTTGCGCTTGTTGCTTGTGTAAAGGATCTGAGTAGAGAGATATGGCTAGCTGGAAAAAATGCAATGCGTTTCCTTAATTTCTTCAACATCCGAGTCAATAAATTGCCACAAAAATCGACCAAACAAAAATGAATGAAAAGTAACCCTCATATTTTTTTTCTTAAATCTGAATTATCAGTTATCTTAGGTGCGAAAGAACAGCAAGTCAGAACAGAAATGGTCACAAGTTTTTCTTTCTGTCCCCTTGTAAAATTGAAGAGATCACTCCCAAACAACAGCGCGGAAGAAACTAATCAAGCCGAACAAGAATCTTTCTCGCGAGCTCAAGATCCGATCACGAAAATGGCTACGGGTTCCCTTCCTCAAGGGTAGGAGAAACGAGCAACAACGGATCAAATACGCCATGTGCGCGATCAACAAAAGAGGAAAGGCGTCTCGATGCGTACCAATCAAACTGCAGAGGAGCCGCACCAGATCAAGTCCCCTGTGATCGGAACCAGGCTCCACTCGAAGCACGACGGGGAAGGAACTCAGGGAGGAGAGGAGCGGCCACCTCCGTTCACTGCCCCACCCGCCGGAGCCGGGGTTTTAATAGAGGAGGAGGAGGAGAGGGAGGTGAAGGCGGAACGGTGCGAGGGCCCACCTGACAGCTTCGGCCCCGGCGCACGAGCGGCGGCACGCCAGCCGTACGCTGGCGTTGACCGATGGACGGCCGGATGGTGGTGGCGGGCGTTCGAACGGGCGGACGGATGGAGGCCGCCTGTTACTTCCCCGCACGTTCCGTGTGAGCGCAACCGCGCACGCCGCACGGGCAGGCAGGCAGATGCTACCGTTGCGTACTGCGCTGTGTGCCTGACGCGCCTCTGACGGGCGGGTGGGCCCAATCGAGATGGCATGGGCTGGCCGAGGGCTTGGGCACCAGCGGTCAGCGACATCTGGCGGTAGCGGTTGAGTCTGGGAGGTGGGGCGGAGAGAACGTGGCTGGAGTGAGGGATTTTCTTGCAGGAACGGCCGGCGGTTTGTCCGTTTTCGCCGCGGATCAGCTGCCAGTTCATTCGGTCTAGTTCACTGATTTGAAGTTGTGAGACATCTTTTTGGAGGATTAGCAGGACTCTAATTCGTGGACAAGGCAACTGTCAATGTGAAACGGAACTCTACCGGAGACAGGTTTCGGCTGGTATATAAGCGGGCTGATTTCGGATTGATTCAATAGTGTTATGTGAGGGAGAATAAGCTGAAATAGACTGACTCGACTGAAAAGCCGTTCAAACGGGTACGGCGAAATCATGAATCCATCCATGATGATTGACGAGTTGAAAGTGCGCCGGTCCTTTGACAAGTCACTTGCGCTGAGAATTTTCCTCTGACGCATTCCTGGAGCACCAGAGCAAGAAAGAAGGGAGACTTTTGACTAGCGCTCAGGCCTTCAAGAACCGGGGGGTGTCGATGGAAGCTTCCACACGTTGTTGCCGCACGTCTCGTCAGCGCTCGGCGACTGTGGACCGGCCACGGAGCGGAGCACGCGAGCGCACGGCGGGACCATTCAGCTCAGCTGGCCTGGGAAACGTCAAGCGGTCCACGCCTCCACCGCCTCCACGGTCTCACGGCCCCAGCCGCGATCGCGCGCGGGGAAGTGCGGGGCAGCCCGGGGTTGCCCGCCTCGTGGAGCCGCGTCGCGCTGTTCCACTCTTCCAGAAGCAGAATCTTTGATTGATCGGTTCGTCCGGTGCTGCGTCAGAAACGTCTTTAGCAATTTAATAAGAATATATTCTTTACGATCAATTAAGAATAATCCTGTCATTATCTGTTTGTGGGAGCACATTGTTCGTGGGAGCCTACGCCCTCCGGCCCTCCCACGAACCGTCTCTGTGGTGTTATATATATATATATATACACACACACGCACACAGGACGAGGCTAAAATGCACATAGTGTATTCCGTGCAGCAAATGCATCCGACCGCGAGCGCGAGGTAAGTCCACGCTTCTACTACGTGCAAAACTAAATGGAGATAATCAACTACGTGATGCCACCTAACAACTCAACTCACCACTCTAAGAAGCATGCATGCAGGAAAACTTTTGTTGATTCCAAACGAAAAAATGCGATATCTTCTAAACCACAGATCCGATTTTAGATCTGTTTGAAGTAGGTTGTTGAAAAAAATATGCTTAACACAACGAGATCCATGAAGGCTGTATTTGATGAAGTTTTTTTTTTAAATACGTAATTGCAATATGTTGTACTATGAGTTGCAAGCACTTTTACAATACAATTGTAACTTGGCTATAGCGTATTTAGCACTGGTTGCAATGAAGACTGTATTTGATGAAGTTTTTTTTTTCAAATACGCAATTGTAATATGTTGTACTATGAGTTACAAGCACTTCTACAACACAATTGCAACTTGGCTGTAGCGTATTTAGCACTGGTTACAATGAAGACGATATTTGATGAAGTTTTTTTTTTCAAATACGTAATTGCAATATGTTGTACTATAAGTTGCAAGCACTTCTACAACACAATTGCAACTTGGCTGTAGCGTATTTAGCACTGATTGCAACTTAGAATTGCAACTTGGCGTGATTATAGTGACCAGATGCATATAATACACAGAGTTATAACTAGTTGCAACTAGGTGGTAGACAGAGTTGCAATCGGTAGTATATTGACGTGCAACTCGCTTAAAGGATAAAAAATATATCCATATTGGATCTAGTTTTGCTCAGAATATTTTTTTGAGTCGGATGCAACAAATGGTTTGTCAATCGGGGCTACGGTTTAGAAGAAAATTTATTTCAAAGATTCAAACCAACAAAAACTTCCATGCATGCATGTATTACGCTGAATGTATATATTGAGGATTGCACCCAGTGTATTATAGCAAAACAACATATATATTCTATATATATATATATATATATATATATATATATATATATATATATATATATATATATAGAGTATATTCCGTAGTTAGCTACAAAATAAGTTATTCTGTAGCCACCTCCATTTATAATAATTTTATATACTAATTTACGATAATATCAATACATATTTACGATAGTTGGGTTACTATAACGCATGGAGATATTTTTCATAACGTTATAATAAACCACTTAGTAAGAAGTTACTATAATCTCGTAAATTAACATAATCTCGTAAATTAACATAGTAATTATTGTAACTCAAAGTGGCTACAGAATACGTTATTTTATAGCCAGCTACAGGGTAGTGTGTGTATATATATATATATATATATATATATATATATATATATATATATATATATATATATATATATATATATATATATATATATATATATATGCCCATATCACCATTCATCAATAGATCAATAGATAGATTTACGTCTCAATTTCATTTACCTTTCCTTTCTACTTTTACGGTTGCTAGGTTTCTGTTCGGAACATGTTATCAGCACTTTCGCTAGAAAAAGCCAAGGAGCAGTTGATAAAGACAAGAAGAACGAGAAGGAGATCGAGAAGATAGGCAATGCCTTATGCAATGTACTCCGTACCTCCGGCATCTCTCGCTGAGCCATTATTGTCAATGTAGTATTAATGGTTCTTCATTGCGCCGGCCGCATCGGCCTCCGTTTTGGTGATGGTTGAGTTTGGGCGTACTTACCAATTACTCCATGCCTTGCATACCCTTCTCCACGAACGTTGGGGCTTGAGGATGCGCATTGGTGGGCAGGGCGTTGTCGCTGCGTCGGCGTCGTTGCAGTGGTCACCACGCCACCAACTTGGCACCCAACAGCGGGCCATGCTCGGCCCAAGCAGTGGGGGACCACTGGATCTACAACCACTGGTGCTGGATGTACTTCGGGACGACGTAGATCGACGACAATGACAGAGGGAATAGGAAGGGCATCAGGCTCTACCTATGACGGTGATGGCGGTTTCCAGACCCTGATGGGCTGATCTTGGCCCAAGCCTAGGTTATGGCCAACGTCTCACTCGCCTGGGCTTCACGGACTGCAAGTTGGTGTGGACCAAATTTTATGTTGAATTAGCTCGTAGCAATAACAATTACCGTCCCCCTCCCTCCCACCTCTGGTATATCGTCGGAGGTCGGAGGGAGTGGGGATCTATCGTTTTTAATAAGTTTCTCAGTAGACCGAGTCTTTAGGGTTATGGTTTCTCCATGCCAAATTTCTTGGTTTGGGAGATTTATTTCCTCCTCCTCCTTTCCGGCGATGGCAAGAGGGCAGGGTGGAATCGTTTTCTCCATGACGGCTCTGTTGAAGATGATAGCGACAACTACGACGTCAGCATCCTCACTGGTTTGACGACATGGAGACTTTTATTTCCGGACGACGACATCAAGGCAGAGATGGTGTCGCCGCCGTGGAATAATTTTCTCCGATCTCTTCTCCGTTTTACTGTGGTTAGATCTGGCCCCGATAAAGGTCTAGGGAGAATAAGTTTCAGATCAGTCTTTCCCATTCTTCGGTGACAGAAAGAAGAAGAAGGAAGACACCAGAAAGAAGAAGTTTCTCAACTCCGCCTACATGAATGTTGGCCGTCGTTCGTTGTGCATCTGTTCTCAGGCATTTTGTCGAGTGTTTGCCTGTACGGTCATTCATACTGCAAAGCGTTGTACAAGTTTGGTTCTGAAATCTGGAGCTATTCACAGCGTGGGTATAATTTAGATGAAAATCAGTTTTTGGATATTTGTGTAATCCAGAGTGCTTGTAACGTGTGTTCATCAGTATTTGTGTAATCCAGGTTTGGTCATCCATACCCAGCTATTATCTAATATAATTCTTCTTTCGTCGCAAAAAAATACCTCTTCTTTTAATTTTTAAGTAATTTAGAAATTTAGTCCATTCTATTAATTGCTATTTAAGAATTGCAGTTCATCAGTGTTGTTAGTCTATGTCCTTTTTAA